ATTACAACTTCAGTTTTTACTATAAAGCAGCTGTCCAGTGTGTTTCTACACGTGTCTGATCTTGACAGACTGAAAAGAAGTAATGGAGAAAATGTCCACAGCAAAGGTGGTGAAATGAACTCCAAACAAACATTTTGTCCTGATTTTGTTAGGAACCACAGCAGTTAGTTCTTCGATTACACTTGAAATACACTGGGGGCTTAACGGACTCACCATTCCAAGGGAATCTTGCTTAAATCTGAATGCCTCAATCTGAAACTGTAACTTGTCATCCTGTATCCTGGGCATGAACCTGGACCTGGAATTTGTCAGCTTGGCATCCATCATGCATCTAAAGATTTTAGTTAAGAGCATAAACCAACAATAGCACAATAGCAAAGCACTCAAAAGAGTCGCTCACCCGCTGTTCTCGATGAACGTGTACATGGTGGCAGCTTCCCCGCTGGGGCCCAAAGTAGCTGCGCAGCTTTCCACAAACACCCGCAGAGGAACGTGATTAGCACGCACCACTGAGGCTTCCAGGTTTATGAAATCTCCCAGAAAGTAAGCGTTAGATGGGCGCTCATACCTCCAGTCATCTGTAGGACAGGTTAAGATCGTCAGATTAAGAATTTAAACAAAATAACGCTAGAAGACTCCGTACCAGTCATGAGTTTGAGGGAGAAGTGTAACTGTTCTTCGCCAGCTTTCGCTGCAACATAGGGAATCCAGGTGGGATGCAATGTATTACTACTCACATTGTGTTTCCTAAAAGTTACAAGAAACCATGCACAGCATGTAGAGAAGCAAAGAGAGTACGACATCTTTTTAGTGCCATGGTAATTTCAAGAATATTCTTATAATGTTTTACTTAAAGGTGGGGTATGTATTTTTAAAAAAATGCTTTAGAAAACTGTGGCCCTGTCCATGCGAACGTGGTTATTTTTTAAAATAAAAATAAGCTTTTTCTACATGGTTTGGCCGTTCGTCCACACGCATATGCAGCACCAGGTCACTGAAACCGAACGTTTTTGAAAACGCCTGCCAGGGTGAAGATTTTCAAAAACTCCGGGTTGCAGTGTTATCGTGTAGACAGCGAAACCGGAGGTTGAAAACTTTTTCAGGCGTCTGATTGGCCAACATGGCTTTACAGTTGAGATTATATCGCCACCTGTTGGTTTGGCATGCTCTTGATAGTGCTTCATATCATGCGTTTGCATTTTCATGTGGATGGAGATTTTTTTCTTTTTTTAAATGGAAGGAAAAACGGTTTATAAAAAATAGGCCATATCCACACATACATGGGTGAGTCGGACCGAGTACCAAAACAAACTTGCTGCCAATCAGCAGTAAGGGGGGTGTCTACTCATGTGGTGGAGAGCGATCAGCGCACAGGACGGACATTAGCAGAGCGACAGAAAGCTAGAGATGGCGGATAAAAAACAAAAAAAACAAGACAAAAACGTCTGCGGAACAAAAGAA